ACTTTAAACACTGTATTGTTGGGCTGCAACAATACAGTGACTGCATTTGGAATCTATTTGGTGTATTACTCTGCAGTGTGCACGCATGAGGTACCTGCCAAACATTCACACTGTACAGCACAGGGAAACATTAACCGTCCTGACAGCCAGTCTTCTGTCATTGCCAGAACGTTGGAACATACAGTGGGCTGTTGTACTTGATTAAAAATGTCCCACTCCAGCAATGCTGTGAATTCTAGGCACCGCTCAGCTGGTTGCTTGACGCATGAATGTGGGATTATTACATTTTTTTGGAAACGCTTGCCTATCATCATGGATGCGGTCTGGAGAGTGGTTTAGTTGAAGCAGGTTCTGATATGGGCAACATGGGAAGCTGTCCAGTGTCACACCTTTTAATGGGACAGTGTTGATCCCAGTTCAAAATCATACAAAAAACACCAGGTATCTCTTAAGGCTAGCATTTTATTCCTTTTTTTATTGCCCATTTCCAAGTCAAGTGGCGCCCTCTGGCCTCCACTCAATAGTGAAGTCTTCTTGCTGAATTTTTACAATTGCAAAAGCAACTCATGCTAATTACTCATTTGTTGGTTGGAAGTACATCTAAATACAAAGCTTAGAAATCTTTTTTTTTTTTTTTGATAAATGTTTAATTATTTGTTTTATTGTAGTTAATTTATTTAGTTTTCAATTCATTCATTCATTCATTTGGCCCAGGACTCCAGACTGGCCAGGACAATTGCTGTTGTGGAGCTTTATCTGTTCTGTGTTGAAATCACCTTCATTGTTCAAGTATTCATGAGGAGTAATATCTTGTAACTATTCTGTACAAGATTAGAGAGAATGTTTTGTTTTTGTTTTTTTACTTCCTCACTTTCTGCACGTGTATATTTAGTTTTGTTGGCACGTTCTAATGCAAATATATGAGCATGATTATTGCAGTTGCAGAAAGCCTTTCTTTTTAATCTCAGCCAAAAGACTCTCATATACGATATGATGATTAAAAAAAACTTATGGTTCACAAAATATGTGGAAAAATTTTTAATTTTGGGAAATTCAATGTGGCATCATTGAATATTTAAATGCAGTCCAGTTAGGTTTTACCTCTTGTTGTGCTGGTGTTTTCTTCATAGTAATATCTACAGGCGAATCCATCTCATATCATACCACTATACCCTGTTAACCAATAATAATAAAAAAAACTTATAATAGGTACACATGTGTTTGCAAATCAGGTTGATGTATTACAGTAAAGATGTAGCACAGCCTACTGGCCCCTAAAAATGCTCAAAATATCCTTACAAGTAAATTGAAACAAAAAAAGGGGGGGGGGGACAGTACAATAAAACAAGTAATCAATCTGTTACCTTTTAATAGTTACAGACATCTAGACCTCTAACAACATGCCCCAAAGGTTCTAAGAATATTACTTCATGATTGTCACAACTCAGAACTCATTATTGTCAAAATCAAAATGACTTTTTGTTGTGTTGTACAGGCTTTGTAGCTCCCCTAACTTCGTCTTAGCTCTGCGGTATCAAAGTATGAAAATTCATAAGTATAATCTGACAGCCAATCAAATTGATGAAGCCTTTAATTTTAAGAGAAGATTTAATAAAGTCTCTAAACTTCATGACAGACAAAGTAAATTGGCAAAACAACAGATGGGCCTGGTGCGTGTAATTGATGAAGTGCAGCTACTGAAGGAATTGAAAAGCTCAGAGAGTTGGGCCAAACACGAGGACACATGACGTGTGGTCTCCAGACAATAGAGCAAACCTAGGCAAGGACTACAGTGGGAGACCTCTTAAATAATATGGAATCCAATTTTTTGTTCCTTGGTTTCTGCTGGATAAAATCCTTGTAATGGTGTTTCATATCAAAAACAACATTAGTATTATTAATTAAAGAAAAGTAATATAAGCTCTAATTGGTTTTTCTGACTTTGAAACATTCAAATTAAGTGCACGTAAGTGCTGAAAAATAAGAGAATAAATGACTTAATTAATGAAACTGTGAATATAACTGTGAAGGTCTAAAAAAAGCTTAAATATATATGGGCAGATATATTGATTTTTTTTTTTTCATCGCTTCTTTGGCAGAAAAATGAGGCATCATAACACCACAATTTAAATATAAATGTTGAGGGTGTGCTGGTTTCCCTTGCTTACAAGTCTCACCGCAGTTGCGCTGTCCTTGGTGCTGAAACATTCAAATGTAACAGAAATGTAACAGAAATGGCAAATATTTTCCTTTTGATTGTCAGTAGAGGCTCATCTATATTGACTTATGCATTTACCCTTATACTTTATTGTTCTTGTATGTTTTTCTAAAGTATTATTACTTATTATTATTATTATTATTATTATTTATTATTATTATTATTATTATTTACTTTCATTTAACATAAGAAAAGGGGTAGTCTTTTTGTATAACAGTTCCATTGTACCTCCTGTTCATTTAATCTCAGTGTAACCAAGAGGCCCTGTGATAGTAATTATAACACACTGCATGTCCATCCCCTCCAACAGTAACACTGATAATACATATCTCATCTGGTCTTATCAAAAGAAAAAAAAAGCCTTCCTTCTAGATGTAATCTTCCCTCCTGAGTTGTCCACTGAAAGTCCGTCGACTACAGTCTGCTCTGTAAAAAGTACACAGAACCCGGGCCAAGAGCAGGTCGTTCCTTTCATCTGCACATCTCCAAAAGGTCATCCTTGCTTTTATCTCTTCCAGACTGAACTATTGCTTCAGGGCATTACTCTCACATCAGCAGGTGAAACACCGCAGCAGACACAAACCATGCTGCCGGCCATTTTATACGTTTTGAAAATAGCCAAAACTGTAGGCCAAAAATACAGACCACTGAAGTGACTTTGGAAATGTAGTTAAAGGCGTTGCTCGCTTATTTTCACAGCTCATTAAATGGCCTTTTGATGGTTGTTTTTTTCACTGTGAATCAACCTTCATATGCCAAAAATGTCGCTTTATTGAGTCAGGTTGTTACCTCTTTCCACCATTTAAACTCTAATTATCTGCATTGTTGCCTCTGCAGTAGTGGGTAGTGAAGATGCTTTTAATTCTTGGACTTTGATTCTTGGACTTTTTAGTGAGGCTGGCACTTACAAATTATATAACAAAAATTAGTCTCTAAAAATTAGTCTCTAAAAGATTGTGAAAAAAAACACAAGGTCCACTTTGGGAGTTTGACACCATGTACTGCACCGTCAATGAGGGTTTTATCTGATTTGTCTGAGAAAAAATTAAAAAAGGAAACAAATTGATTTTATTGGAAGCGTGTGCAAAAAGCTTTTGATTTATAAGAAAAAAACAGCATTTCTTGGGATACTAACATTTTTTGAATCAAGTCGACATGTCCGGAGGTCACATGATGCACCACAGGCCGCCACTTCTCCACTGTTGTCCTTTTGTCCTGAGCTCTTTATCTTTAAGCTTCAGTTAAAGTAAATGGTGAAGGTGGCAAGTGAACCTACGGCTGGAGAAGCATAACGACACAGTTGTACTGTAATCAAGTGCCATAAATAGAGCTGTCATAGAGGATTTTAATTTCCAGGTTGTGTCGAAGTAATGTTCTTGCAATGCAGTCATTTGCAGACGTCAACTTCTGCATAAGAACTTATAACATTGTGAAAAATAAGGACATTTTTCATAAAAAAACATTTCTGTTTGTGACTTATTTTATTAGAGATTAATATGAGGACATAAAAATGCAGAGAAAATGAAACTGGCAGATTGACATGCAGCGTAGGAGTAGAGAAAATGTTACCTCACTTAATGACTTGCGATACCTGCAGGTTTCACAGGCTGTAAACTGGCAGACACGGTCCTTTGATAGTTTCTGTTTTTGCTGTAATGCCTCTCTCTCTCCAGTGAGCCCAGTCAAGTGATTTTCAAATGTTCACTGGGAATCCTATCTGCCTTCTTTGAGAGTAGCGAGGAATAAGTCATGGCTCATCAGTTTGTGAGGAAATTGATATTTTTAAAGATTTAAAGACATGTTGATTTTTTTTTTTTTTTGTCATTTAGAACATCAAACAAAATAGAGCTGTCATTGGATGTGATTTACAATAAGATGAAAAGAAATGTGTGGCTAGCGTAGCTACGTAGCATAATAGAACTGAGTTAATTGTTTGCTTATTAGATTTTTGACTGACCCAGAGAAAGTTGTGAACTAACGTAGGAACTAGTTCTTTTAAATGTGTCCTACCAGACTGCCTGGTAATGATGTTTGCAATTTTATCCCAAGTCAAATTGATGACTTGTTACAGAACGGTTTGGGAAAACAGATGAATGCTTGGCAATCTGTCTGGACTAGAAAAGCTGCACTGCCACAGTGCCTCCATCGCCTCCAAGCCTTCAAAAGCAGCACTTGAGCTGACTAATGTCCCACCACTTTTACTCATCCGTATGCAAATATATGCAGGTGGTCCAGAAATGTAATCACATCATCTGCTGTGGAGAATACCTGCTATGACTAACAAATGTGACACCCAGCCTGTAAAGGCATTAGGAGAACATGTTTTTAAATCATTTTTTTATCTCAAATTGTATCAAAAGTTTCACAGCACAGTAAAAGGCCAGCCTTCTGTGCATCTAACACTCTTTGGTACAGAGTTGCCCATAGGCAACAGACTAAATTTTGGGATGGGAAAGTTGAAAAAAGAAAAGACTAAAGACCCTGTAGGGGGAGTCAATAACAATCATTCACCTTGAACATTGGTTAAAGGATATCCTATTCAACACTTTTTGCAGACGTTTTTGTAAGTAAACAGCTCATTCTCAGTCCCCTTTAC